TTGCGGTTGGTGCCCTGATCTCAGTGGTACCAATTTCGCAGGCTATCGCTACCTATGGAGCACGGCAAGTAGGCAGTTTTGCTGTTGCTTCGTTCCGTTGTTTAATAGTAATGCTAGGTATTTTTTGCCTCCGGCATTCTAAGTGCTATTTCAACGGCATTTATTCCGATGTCAGCCCACTACAGCTTGAATGCGTTTCTGTTCTTGCGAGTTGTGCAGGTAAATAATACTACTTCCCTCACGAATTCAGTACATTGATGTCTGAGTTTTTATCCCTGGAAAAGTGATTGCTATTTAGATAGAGATCTCCCAACTGAACACATGACTTTCACACGAAAGTCGTGTGCATGCCAAAAGGCACAACAGAATGTACTCTGAATTTCATTACCTCTCATGACTCCTCTTTCTCCGACGATGTCTGCTGTGCTCACTTTGTTTTTCGAAGCATCAGTGTCTCAAGCAGGAAAAAGAACAAATTTTTAGCACAACACGGTAAAGTCACAGTCATCTGCTGCACATATCGTCAAAACTGAGGGAAGGAGTGCTTCACTATTTTGAACAACACAACTCACAGAGTAGTTTGTTCTCTGAAATTTCAACTTTGCAAGACAATTGGCACACGTTGGAGACGTAGTTAAAGCTCTAGCTGCCGTAGTCCGTATGGAAAGCGTACCGCAGACTCAGGGTAGATAAATCATAGACAAAGGAGAAACTCAAATAGTTCCTACTGAAGCAAATTTTGACGGAATGCTCCAAACACACTGAATCATGCAGGGAACTCGTGTTAGTCTTCGAAAATTTTGTGACATATGGACTGAATAGAGATTTTTGCATTTTTGCTCTGTGAAGACACCTTATTTGTCAATGTCTCTAGAAGTGCGAAAGAATAATTTCTTCGAAAAATGGAAGAGCGGTCATCACTGCAATGAAACCACTTTTCGAGACTTCTGTTGGGTTCTCTTCCATAATTTCCGATTGGAAGCAGCATCAAATATAGATTCATCTAGGGTATCTCCTTCGCAGCTTGCATGCCTACAGTCGGTTCAATCACAGCTGCTTGGGCATCTTTGCGGCAGAATGGCTTTTTCATATGTTGTCTCACCACATTCGGTCAGATAAGCTTGATCTATGCCATGCCGGTATCAGGGCAGGTAATTTGATTCATTTACCACCTTACAGCCTATTTTCTAATCTGTTTGATTCCAACTTCAGCTATGTGCATCCTCTTATGGTTGGGAGGCGGTTTATTATCTAAATGCGGTGCTTACCGTAATCTTTAGTTGTGCTTGGTTTTGCTTGTATGCTAATAATCCAGGTATGAACAAACTGTCGAATATAGTCTTCAAAGTGATCCACGTGTAGCACGCCATCCTATGGTTTCTTCATATGAGCTGGCCGATATCAATCGTGGCAAATCGTTGGCACCAATAGAGTTGAGTTTTTTGTGTTAGTATCTGGGAAACAAGTTATTAAGTGATGCCTGTATTCCACTTTTACATATATATGCGTATTTTTCAGCAAACGCAGTAATTACTTGCTCCAAAGTATGGCCAAAATGAAAAGGTGCATCAATGAAGACGAAACTCTATGCGAAACAGCGACATAGTAGATTGTCGGAAAAAGATGGAAAACACATGTTTGGCACTGGAAATTTTTTTTGACATTCACCAAAAACCTCACCAGAAATGACATTCACCAATGCTCACATAGAACTTTTTTTGCGCAGCCGCATGACTTTCCAGCTTTCGCCATTGGCCATAGAATAAAGCAAACAACTTTTGCCCTTCATTACAATCCTTTTCACAACTTTTGCATGTTTCCGCTATGCCTGCTCTCGAATTCCAGAAGTCTATACCGTACATTCAAATTTTAACAACTCCAACCATATTGGGTGTATGGATTGGAGCAGTCGGATGTCTTCTCGCTTTGCAGGTGAGGTATCTTCGGTGAGTTAACCAGCATAAATCACAGTCCATGGGTTCGCTGAAAAGTGGTTTATCTCGAGATGTTATCAAAATTGAAAATATTTGGGGTCTGATTTGCTAGGGGTCTCAGTCTACGAAGCTTCCCTTTTTAAAAGTTTGGTGAATAAGCTCAACTCGTTCACTTCACGGCGTCATTCCCTCACGTAAAATTTTACTGAAGCGAAGTGTACAAAATGTTTTTGGAAATCTAGAGGGTTAAAAGTTTTTTCCCAAACAAGCTACCGCTGGAATTCTGGATCACAATTTTAGCTGGTACAAATGTTCTCGCCTCTTTACATTCGCGAAGTACTGCAGTATTCCGTGCAAAAGACTGGCTTCGCCGCAGCACTCCCTGTCCTATTTCAGTGCCTTGTAAAGGTGCATAGAACTCATCTTTACAAGCATTGATATCTATAATCTGGAATAGGTTGTCGCCGGCTACAGCAGCGATCGAATACGAAGCATATCGGAAACGACGAAGCTGCGCATCTACAACACCTTTTCACTAGGAGCAAGTGCCTTGGCTTTTTGTGCATTGTCTTTTGTCAAAAAAGGTAATCGTTGGCTTGCAAAATGCATGACAAAGTACAATGTTTCCATTCTTTAGGAGAGTCTACTCGTGGGATTGTGCTTATCACACTTGCCACCGCCATGTTCGGTCTCATTGGTGCTGGTTTCGTGAAGGTAATGTCTTTTTTAATCTCTTTTAGTACCCGTACATAATATCTGAGATTTACTATACTATAGGAATTTGAATGTGAATTTGAATGGAAACAATTTCTGGATATAGATGAGTGGGAACATTTTGTCATATGGTTTCAGCTCTTTTAGAAGCAAACAAAACCTTCAGAAGCGTTTATTCATTCTACAGGTTGTTCCGAAATTTCGTGCTGCACTTCTGCGCTTTTTCTGCCCATTTGGCAAATCAATCTCTTAAAAATTCGTTGTGACGTTTGAAACATCGTTTTTATAACTTGGCCAGTCTTCACAGCGTTATCTCAGTTTCTTTTTAACTTGTGTTAACAGGCAAATAAGGAAATACTTTGCAACACAAAACTGTAGGCATCTTTACCTGTGTACCGAAAATCAAATTGTTTGAAAAGTGTACACTCTTGCGAAATTGATTGTTACTTGAAAAAACCCCTAAAATTCCACGGGAGGCCCGAAACTGGATCATCATCAAACACTAAGGTACAACTTTTCACATTCAAGTAACCATGTGCACTTATAGAATTGACCTAGGAATAGCAATATTTCCAAATGTGTGCAAAACCTGGAAGAAAAGACAGCTAGAGCAAGCATACAGCAGTTTCTCTACTTTGTAACAACTGCAAAAGCTGTGTGGATTTCGATTCATTTAAACATTTAGTCCCTACAATAATGGGAAGAATAATGGTCTTGAACATAACCAACTCTGTTCAGTGCGCGACACTAGTGTCTAGACAACATAGCCATTTCGTGCTTGCTAATATTCAAAACATTTGGTGCTCTACTATGTTGATCTGCCCAGTCCTGGTAACATTTGTAGCAGTTCTAATCCTGTGGTAAACCAATGTTTT